TTTTTCTTCGAAAACAGTGTTGGTTGGATAGATCTTTTATCAAGTATGTACTCTGCATAAATACAGAGCTTTATTTAAGCTCTCTATACAAATGCCGGACAATGTAAGTGGTTCCCTCTGCCCATCACTGAAATTCTGCTAAAATATCCACACCGCTTTTCTCGACATTCTACATCGGCAACTGTTTGGCCAACATAAATTCGCATTGTTGTTGATGGAATAGCATCTTTTGTTGCAGTTGGATGTATTGTTGTTGGAATTGTTGCTGCTGCATCTCAATCAATTCCTGTTGTATGAGTTGTTGTTGTTGCTGATGATGGAGGAAGCACATTTGTTGTTCCTGCAGGGCCTGCAACATCATCGCCTGTTGCGCTCTTTCAAGTTCCTCCGGACTGGGAAAGTAAACTGCGTTGGGCGCTTGCGGATGATTCATGGGAACGCCATGGGTAATGACTTGGTTCAGTGGATGTCCATATGTATTACCGGTGAAATGGGCCACATTGGAATTGAATACGAGTCGCCCGGTTGATGAGTTCACATTAACATCGTCAATAGCTGGATTTATGGCCCAATAATTTCCACGACCGGGGTCATCTAATGGACGTGGCACTTTAACGAAGCATGAGTTGGTACTTAGGGTGTGACGCACCTGACCCTGCCAGCCGTGTTGTTCTTTTCGAAAGTATGGGAAATGGCGCGAAATCCAGTCCTGTATTGCACTCAATGGTAGACGTTTCTCTGGACTATTGCGGATTGCCATGGCCACCATCGCACTGAATGTGAAGCCCGGCCTTTCCTCACTGTCCTCTGATCCATAGCTGTCTGGGGAAGCTGATCCATCGGAACGTGGTGGTGTTAGCGGAGCGTTATTCAAGCCATGCCTATTTTGTTGAATATTTGCGTTATCTCCGATAATATTGCGAATGGAGAAGTTAGATTCGAAGATTGGTGCCATTATGATCGAAATCGATTAGTTGTGTGTATAATTTTATGACCTTCGGAGGGATACGTATTGCTCCTCAGTGAAGTATACAAATGTTGTGAATTGACTGATGATTTATCCTCGAAAATGCTGCAATTTTATACTTTCGAAGCCCCGCTTAATGCATTTCATCTATATACTGATGGACAAAATCTCACTTAAAACGCAGTGCTGAAGTTCACTCAATATGAAATGGTCGAATAAACCGACTCGAATTACTCATTTTCCTTTAATGAGAATTAAGGATTTCAACTAAAACAATTTGAGTGACTTTAAGGGAAGATAAAATGTGGCGCTAATATCATTGAGTGAAATGCATACAACAAAAGCAATTAAACGAGTAGCTCAAACGTGTAAAGTTAAAGAACAGATATCAATTGTTTTCAAACTTGAAATTCACTCAAAACTATAATCCGCGGTTATTCGCGTTAAAAGGATTATAGTGACAGAGAAGGCAAGGAACAATGAAAACGGATGACGGGAGCAACCAGGTATGGAAATGAAGGAAGCGTCGACGGTTCATCTAAATATTAGGTGAAAAGCAATTCTATGAATGATTTCGCGAAACATAGTCTAATTAATGAGGTGCGAGTAGAATAGGAATTAAAAAATTATTCATCAATTGTGTGGAGATGGTATTGTACTTTAATCGAGTAAAAATTAAAAATTAAAAAGTGATAATAATCCCAAAAATTCGTATGCCAAAGTCGAGCTCAGAAATTTAATGCCAAATAAAATAGTTAAAATTTACTTTGATTAATGGAGGTAACAATTACCTATTCGAAATTGAAAAGAAAACGGCCTGAAAAAAAGAGCTCCTGATATTAAGTTGATATTAATTTTGTAAGTCTCTAGCTTTTGTTGAGAACAGAACCCTTCAGACACTGCAGAAATAGTTCTGAGAAAAGCTGAAGCATTGAAAGCTGAACTTACGGTCATTAAAGTGGCAGCTTTCTGACACGGCAAGGTGCTTCGGAACTTCGACCAAATCTCAATTGTGATGGGAACCAATCTAAATAAGTTAAATATACTCTTCGTGCGGACGTTCCTTGTTTTTAGATACACTTTGCTTCCACTGCACCAGAAGATGGGCAAGGGAATCCACACGTGAGGCAGCAAGGCCAGCCTGCCTGCTATTTTTCATAAAAAGAAGTATCTGTTCCAATTTCATCATCCTTCTATTTGTGTGGTAGTAGGTATTATTGCTAAAAGTTGAATATTGTAGATGTACGGCAAACTATTGGGCTATCCAGTCCTGGGAGATAAATAATGGATGCTAAACTTAGAGCTGCGTCTTTGAGAGATACTCATTAAGTGTTTTAAGGTTGAAATTCTGCACAAAATTTACGGAAAAGTTGCTCGGGCTAAGTTCAATCTACTAATTTTTGAAGGATCTCCAGATCAATCGAGAAAATCTGAGGCAGTAGTATATATGTACAGACGGCAACGCTGATCCGGATTAACGGCGCAGTTGATCTCATCAAAATTGTGCCTTGACAGACGATTCGAGTCCCACGGCCACCAAAATATTCATTTAATTTTTTTATTTATTCAATTATAACTTCTATAGTTTTTATACCCGAGCGCACTTGTGCATAAGGGTATATTAATTTTGTTCACATAACCGTTGTTTGTAACAGCCAAAACGAATCGAGGTAGATATAGACAAATGTATACATAAATGATCAGGATGAAAAAAGAAATCGATTAAGCCATGTCTGTCTGTCCGTCCGTCTGTCCGTCTGTCCGTCTGTCCGTCCGTCCGTGTACACGATAACTCGAGCAAAAATTGAGATATCTCAACGAAATTTGGTATGTAGATTTCCCTTAATTCAAGGTAGGTTGGTATTGAAAATGGGCGAAATCGGACTGTAACCACCCCTACTTCCCATATAACGGTAATTTCCAGAAATACGAAAACTGCGATATTTTAGTAACTACTGAAGCTAATTCACTCAAAATTGATATTTACAATAATTTTTATACGAAAAATAAGAATATTATAAATTTTTGGAAACTGGGCGTAGCCACGCCCACTTATGGTTACATGTGAATATCTTGGTAACCGCTACACCAATTTCTTCCACACTTAGCACAATTGTTGGCCTTGGTACAGCATACAAAATCGCCGAAAATTTTTAAAATCGGACGATAACCACGCCCACATCCCATATAACGGTAATCTAGAGAAATACAAAATCTTCGATAAATCAGTAAATATTGAAGCTAATTTATTCAAAATTGATGCTTGCAACTATTCTTTACCAAGAAATACGTTTATGATAAAGTTTTGGAAAATGGGCGTGGTACCGCCCACTTATGATCACATATATGTATATCGGTAACCGTTCTACCAATTTGTACCAAACTCGGTATTTTTATTGTGCTTGCCACATAAAAGAAAACCGTTGAAAATTATTGGAATGGGACTAAAATTACGGCCGCTTTTCATATAACGGTACATTTCAGAAATGCTTGAAACTTCAATAATTCGAAATTTAAGGACGCTAATTTACTCAAAATTGATACACCCCGGCTTACCATCTAGCGGTAGGTTTCGGAAAGGTGAAAAACATATATTTAATACGTGCGCCGGGTATTTAACGTTCGGCTCCGCCCGAACTTAGACTTTCTTACTTGTTTTAATGTTATTTTTATTTATTTACTAACTTTTGACATTTTAATTGAATTCAATTGATTAACTAATAACAAAATTGATAATGGGAAATAAATCAAAATAAAATAAAGTAAAATAAAAAAGTAGGAAAATAGAATATGCTTATAAATCCAAATAGTAAAAGTAAAGATTTTTTTACAATCGCTCGCTAAAAATATTTCTTTCAGTGCATAATTTGGTTATAGTTACATTATTTGTTCAAAGTTACCAAATCATGAGTTGAGAAAAATATTTTAGCTGATTTTTTTTTTCTGGATGCAATTCAATTGGCTGGCAAGTTTTCAAGTACAAAGAAACAGCGGCAAGTGCAACAGTACTTACTAGGAATGTTAATCCCGGGATCCCGGCCTTTTTTAGGTCCCCAAAAAATTCTTGGCAGATAATCACGGTTAATTTGCACTGGTGGCAATAATAGAAACTCCTTTTGTTGACCAGTGATGGTTATATTTTTTTTTTTTAATATTTAATGTCTTTTTTACAAATGTGTAACTCAGTAATCCTTATAACACCGTGCGGTAGTCAATTTTACACAGAAAAAAATCAATATATTCGCGAAACCGAAAGCAAAATATATATAGTAAAATTGCGTTTTTAGTTTTTCACTCTGACGTCAGTAATTTAAAAATTATTTCAAAAATTCAGTGAAATGTGCTTAGAGAAGAAATATGGGTATCAAATTAAAGAGGAAATTCTGTAGAATTTATTAAGATTCAATTTTTGGGTGCAAAAGGACTGGCAAGTATTGAAAATATCCTTTTAAAATTTTATCCTTGAAATTTCCCAATATTTGTTTTTGAAAAATTTCGTTCTTCTAACTTTATCAGCTTAAAAAATTCATTAATTTTTTTTATTCTAAAGAAATTTCCACTTCCATTTGGTACCCATATGTTTACTCTACATTGCATTGAATTTTGTAAACAATTTTTGGAATCAATCGTATCCCTCAAATTATGAAGTCCTTTAAAATAAATCCTTACGTCAGAGAGAAAAAACAAAAATGCCACTTTAATTAAAAAAGTAGCTTTCAAACCTATTTGTTTATTATTTATTTTATGGTAGGAGAGATAGAAGCAATTTTTTCGATTTAAAAGTTGTTGAAAGGTAACGATTATCTAAGTCTCGGGACTAATCCCGGGATTCTGGGATTGTGATAACGACATCCCGAAATCCCCGGATCATAAAAAGCGAAAAAAATTAACATCCCTAGTACTCCCGTACGTTCAATTCAACCGAATGATTGATAACATCAGAACGAGAAGCATTATGTCCATGGGCGTAGCCAGGTAGGGGCAGGGGGGTGCTCGAGCCCTCCCCCCCTAACTTTCAAATTTTCCTTATATATATATAAAATAGTACCCTGAAATGCCAGCTTAATAGAGTGGAGCCCCCCACTAAATTTCATTCTGGCTACGCCGATGATTATGTCCATATCTTCGTATACTTTGTACAAATTTACCCTTTAATTCTCAATCGAGCATGCCCATCTATGACTTCTATTCTTGAAAATTGGTTCTTGAGAATTGGTGAGAGCCCCATTACGCTGGCACAACTCTAGCACCTAATAAACTTCCTCCGCAGTTTTTTAAGTGATCTATTGCGGATTTTATTCACATGAAATTTAAACACATGCTAATTCTTGTGAACTTTATAATTTAATATTCTCATGTAAAACAAATTGTATATCAAGGGATATTTAAAACTATATACATATATACACTCTACAGACACACACACTTAAAAACTAATTAAAGTTTACTACTAAATTTACTACTAAATTCACATAGGTGGATTTGTTCAATTTTCTACATCGGCAACTGTTTGGCCAACATAAATTCGCATTGTTGTTGATGGAATAGCATCTTTTGTTGCAGTTGGATGTATTGTTGTTGGAACTGTTGCTGCTGCATTTTCATCAATTCCTGTTGTATGAGCTGCTGTTGTTGCTGATGATGAAGAAACCACATTTGTTGTTCTTGCATGGCCTGCACCATCAACGCCTGTTGCGCTCTTCCAAGTTCCTCAGGAGTGGGGAAGTAAATTGCATTAGGTGATTGTGGATGGTTCATGGGAACGCCGTGGGTAATTACTTGGTTCAAAGGATGTCCATATCCGTTCGCAGAAAACTGACCGCCGTTGGGATCAATTACGAGGCGACCAGTCGATCTGTTCACATTAACGTCTTCAATAGCCGGATTTATAGCCCAATAATTTCCACGACCGGGGTCATCTAAAGGCCGCGGAACCTTGATGAAGCATGAGTTTGTACTTAGAGTGTGACGAACTTGACTCTGCCATC